GTAAGGGAGGAGGAGAGGAAGGAAGGAAGAGAGGAGAGAGAGGAAGGAGGGAGGAATAGAAAGGAAAGAAGGAGGGTATGAAGAGAGAAAGAGGAGGAAAGAGTATATGGGGAGGCAATGTTTTCATCGGTGAGGAGGAGGGAGGAGGGAAGGAAGGAAGGAAGAAGGGAGTTTAGAGAGAGGGAAAAGGGAGAAAAGAAACATAGAGAGAAGGAAGGAAGGGAGCTTAAAGAGAGTGAGAGAAGGAAGGACGAAGGAGAGGAGGTAAGAGGTCACCATCAAGAGGTCATGACAGTGCGGGTGGCCCACTACTCTATACAGTCCCAGATATGCAAATTACCACCCCTACTTCCTCTCCTTCCTCCCTTCCTCTCCCACCTCCCCTTCCTCTCCACCTCCTTCCTCTCCCTCCCTTCCTCCCCACCTCCTTCCTCTCCCTCCCTTCCTCCCCACCTCCCTACCTCCCCTCCTCCTTCCTCCCCCTCCTCCCTTCCTCCCCTTCCTCCCCTCCTCCCCCTCAACTACCTGACGTCAATTTCTCTGTTAAATAAGGAATAGGCTGGCGTCAGTATTTCGTGTGGTAGCAGGCTGACTTCAGTTCGTCGTTAATTAGTACTGGGCTGACGTCATTAGCCTTGTTATTCGTTACTCTGTGTCTCGCTAGCTCAGGTAACGTCTTGGTGGGTTTGGTTTAGGTTACGTTAGAGTTACGTTAGGTTAGGGAGTCTTGGGGCTAAATTTCTATTCCTCTTTGAAGGGTTTTTTAGCTCCCTCCTTTTGTACCCTGGGAACAACGCCCTTCCCTCCCTCCTTCCTCCTTTTCCTTCCTTCCTCCTTCTCTCCTTCACCCTCCCTCCCTCCTCCTTCCTCCCTCCCTCCCTTCCTCCTCCCCTCACTCTCCTTCACCTCCCTCCCTCCTCCCTCCCCTCCCTCCCCCTCCCTCCTCCCTCCCTCCTCCCTCCCTCCCTCCTTCTCCCCTTCCTCCCCTCCCTCTCCTCCCTTCACCCTCCCCACCTCATTCCTCTCCTCCACACCTGCCCTATACACCCCCACCTCCCCCACACCTGTTAACCGCCCGTACACCTGCCTAAGCCTTCTCCCACGCCCATACCTGTCACTTTAGACAGGTACCCACCTACACCCCTACCCCCCCGCCCGCCCCAGAGGTCAGGCCCCCAGCCCCGCCAGCTGCTACACAGGGCAGGGCTCTCCTGAGTCTCAAAAAGGCTCCTTACCGTGTTATTTCCTGCCAACTGTAGTGATGATGATGATAATAAGTACAGTAATAATAATCTCTCTCTCTCTCTCTCTCTCTCTCTCTCTCTCTCTCTGCGGTGGTGAATGAGATGAGATCAGGTTTGGCATCCATAGAGCTGCCAGGCACAGTGGTTCTCCTCTTCACTCCCTCCTCCCCTGTTCTTCCTTCCCCCTCCCCTCACTTCCTCCTCCCCTTCCTTCCCCCCTCTACCCCCCTCCTACCTCTCTCCCTCACAAATTAAAATATTCTGAAAATAAAAAAAAACTTTATTTTCCGAATTATTTTTCAGCAGTTAATGATTTTTCCCTCACTTTCTATTTTATTTCCATTTTTTTCCCTATTTTTCCTAACGTCATGGAGTATATTTACTAAGTAGCAAAATGAATGTTTAATTTCGCTTCTGTTTTATTTTGCGAATATTTTTATTTAATTTTTTTTTGCTCTACGAATATTTTTATTAAACGGTGATGGTACGTTGTAATACTGCTGGGATGGTGATTCACTCTGGCGTTGGCGATGCTGTTATTTAGTGTGTGTGTGTGTGTGTGTGTGTGTGTGTGTGTGTGTGTGTGTGTGTGTGTGTGTGTGTGTGTGTGTGTGTGTGTGTGTGTGTGTGTTTCTCCCTGGACCCCTTGGGTCCCCTTCCTTCTCCCTCCCCCTTCCCTCCCCTCCCTTTCCCCCCTCCCCCTCCCTCCCCCCTCCCCCCCCCAACACCGACCATTGTTCATCAGCACTGCTTGAGAAAATCGATGGATTGAAGTGTGTGTGTGTGTGTGTGTGTGTGTGTGTGTGTGTGTGTGTGTGTGTGTGTGTGTGTGTGTGTGTGTGTGTGTTGACGACCAGAGATAAACGCTCAGGCTCATGTCTCTTGTCCGACACGCAGTGGTGAGAATGTGGGGAGAAGAGGAGGGAGAAGGAAAGGAGGAAGGAGGAGGAAGGAATGTATGGAAGGAGGGGCTAGAAGCGTGAGCAAGGGTTTATTCAATACACACACACACACAACAGATCAAGGCCACTGACAGCCGCGTACATGAACAGCACACACCCACATGTATACACAAGACAAACGCGCACACACACACAATTACGAAAACGTTCATGTTACAGTGTACACACAGATAACCCTCATTCCCTCACACCCACTCCCATTTCCCTCCCACCCCATTACACCCACCGTGTCTACTAAACCCCAACACTCATCCATCTTGAAGAGAGAGAGGCCTTATCAATATTGGGGCTTTGTAGTGCTAGTCATTTTTGCTATTGGGTGTATTGTTATTGTTTGTGGGGTGGCCCTCTGGTGTGGCCCTGATGTGGCCTGGTGGTTTTGTGACCAGGTGGTGTTGTGGCCCTGTGGTTGTGGTGTGGCCCTGTGGTGTGTGTGTATGTGGTGGTGGTGTGGCCCTGATGTGGCCTGGTGGTGGTGTGACCAGGTGGTGTTGTGGCCTGTGGTTTGTGGTGTGGCCCTGTGGTGTTGTGTGGCCATGTGGTGGTGGTGTGGCCCTGTGGTGTTGGTGTTTGACCCTGTGTTTTGTAATTGTGTCCTAGAAATACGGTTTATAGTATGTGTATATGTATGTATGTATGTATGTATGAAGTATGTATGTATGTATGTATGTGTATGTGTGTGTATGTATGTGTATTCTAACCCCCCCCCGTCCTCTACTTTACGTGATCTATTTAATGACCAAAATAATTACTTATTAACGCCCTAATTACTTATCATTTCCCCTCATTACTTTAATCAGTCTTCATTACACTTATAATTACTTTTTGTAAGTCACCTGACAAAAACAGTGACGTTATTTGGGGTTTGAGTGACGTCATTGGTTATTTTAGTTGTTATTTTATTTGTTATTTTATTTGTTATTATTTTTATTTAGTTTTTATTTATTTAGTTTTTATTTATTTATTTTTATTGTTTTTACTTTTTTTTGATATTTTGTATTTATTTTTATTTTTTTCTAGGAAGGGAAACGATATGTATGTATGTATGTATGTATGTATGTATGTATGTATGTATGTATGTATGTATGTATGTATGTATGTATGTATGTTTACTTATGTTTTGAGACTTTGTATCAATACGGTTATGTATACTGTACATGAATACATCTACAGTATGTATTGATTTATGAGTGTTTGAATGTGTGTATGTATTATGTATTATATGTATATTCGTATAGTTTGTGTATGTATATCTGTATTGTTTGTTTTTATGTATATGTAAAGAATTTATGTATACCTGATATACATATGGGTGCTTACATTCACACATGTATACAACACACACACACACGTTACATTATACACACACGTTACATAATACACACAGGTCACATAACACACACACAGTTACATAACCACACACACACACACACACACACACACACACACACACGGCCACAATAACACACACACATTAAGAGTATCAGATGACCTTACTAACACTGCTTTGTGCATTAAAATATAACTTAATATAGTCTACACACATCGCCTGTAAGTTAAGTTCCTTTACTCAAGTGTAAATTAATCTACTTCACTGGAAATAAACTTCTCCTTACTGATAATGGAATAAATTGTTGGTGTTTTCGTGTATTTGTTACGTCAGGGTGTTGGGTAGAGGGATTTATTCTACATAGAGAAAAAGAATAGGAAATAATAATTTTTTTCGTGTGAGCGTTGAAGAAACTCGACTCCACCAGCCCCAGTGTTACCCACTGGCGGGTGAAGGTTTTCGCGGTTTTCTTGATTCTCTCTTGGTTTTATCGTAAGGTTTTGTTTTTTTCGTTTCTATTTTTATTGCTTTTGTTTTATATTGTAATGTGAGGTTGGTAGAGGTGGTTAGTAATTATATCTGTGGGTTACTTTTTGTGGGCGTATTGCAACATTTGGCATCTGGTACCGGCCGGCGAAGAGTTCGGAGCCGCAGTTCAAGCGAGCTGAAGTCAGTGTCGATGCGGACACCAGAGCGTACGGTCGTGCACCTCCCCTCTCGCGAGACACACTTCCGCGGTTCCCACTCTGAGAACAAAGTCCCCAAAAAATCCAAAATTCGTTGAAAATTGTGATTTTGGGGAAGAAAGAACGGTAGCGTTGATGACTGGTGCCGGCAGTGGTGCCACATTTCGCCCTTGACCATCAAGTTCCATGATACATGAACTCGGTCGTAGTTTTTGAACTTAGTCTCAGAACGCCGCGGCGGAGTTGGAAGTTCAGAACTTAAGGAAAATACCGTCCGATTTGAACAGACGGTGGCACATAACGTTCACAGCATCAGCAGATGAACAAACTCCCCTGGGAAGAACATGGAGAACACCGAATTTGAACAAGAATCATACCACCCGAGAAACAGTTGCACAGTTTTTGGACTTTGTTCACAGACGGGAGTAAGTGACGTAGTGTGGAGCCCCGCCTCAATGTGGTGAGAGCCGCCACAAAGTGTCGTCTCATTTTGTTCCAATTTCAAGATTTTTCTCGGTAAGTTAAGTTGGCGGCGACGGACTCAGGCTTTGAGTCTAAGACCAAAATCGGTTTTGTTAAATAGTTCACGTATACAGGACCTAACAGGAACTTCTCTACAGCGGTTGTGAGTACATACCGAGTACTGGGCGAGTACTCAGCCAGTGGTGGAGTTAGAGTACATTTTGTACTTGTCTGGCCGGGCCGGCACCGCTCTCGTGGGCTAAGTCCCCAAAGTTGGCCCCGGCCTCTATACGAGGCCCCCGCTGCACCAGGGACCATGGGGCCCATCACCAGGCCTCACAGGGGCTCCCACCAGTACACTTGGCTGCTCCAACACCCACCAGCTGTGTGGGGTGACCAGCTGGCGACCAGATGGTGGAGGAGAGGGACTTTGTCTCCACCATCACCGGCACGGCCTCCACCACCGCGCCCCTCTCCACCACCACCACCACACAAGGCAAATAGACCAGAATTGAAAGACCTCACCTGATGAAGACGAGGAGTAACAGGTTAGAAGTTGACAGAATCAACTCAGGTAGAAAAGTTGAAAGAGACACCAGAGCAGGTGGTGTGTGGCTCCCCGCCAAACATCACAGCTGCTGCCCTGAAAAACGCTGACGGTGGAAGGAATAACCTGAAGGTGATAGTCAGGTGGGAGTCTCAAGAAACAGAAAGTTTTATCAACGTTCCTCAACCTCGTCTGGACTTAAGTTCATGCAAGCCAACAAACAGACGTCAAATGGCGAATAGATATGTAGATTAACCTCGTGTCTATGAAGGATGGATAACGGGGAATAATAACGAAAGGGGCAAAATTGTGGGGCGGGGGCGGGGGGGATAAATGAATGCTGGGGCGTTCACCTCCTGGTCAATGAAAGTGACTGAACTCTTGACTACCTGCCTCGGGAACTCCTGCAAGAATCTAAGTCATGCACCTCACCTACCTGACTCTACATGACTCTAGGTTGAGAAATTAAACCACCTTAACCAGCAAAAACACAATTAACAGCAATATTGAAAGAAGCGAATTTGAGTTGACAGGCAGGCAGAGATACCGTCTACCTGCCACTGCCTTCAACTCTGGACTTGAGCCAACCATCTTTAAGTAACGAGGTAAGATTCGCATGTGCATGATTGGGTTATGTTGAATGTTGTATGTGTAGAGATAATGTGGTTTTGTGTTTTATATACTGAATGTGTGTCTGTCGGGAAATTTTATTAATCGTGCTTTTGCGTTCGATTGTAAAAAAAATAATGTTGCTATGTTTTTACAAGTTTATTCTAGTGATTTATGTCATGGTGGGTGGGGGAGAGATTTATTCATCTCTTAAAATAAAGAAATTATCATCACTTTGGGATTTTGGATGTAAAAAAAAAAATCTTCGGTTAGATTTAGTCGTGTTTTAGGTACGAACCATTTATGAATTTATTACGAATAGATTAATGATTGATTCGTGATGCTGTACGTTCGTGTAAGATAAAAAAAATATTCGTATTTTTAAATGTCGTTTGTGGACTTAGAATATATTTACCCGAGAATTTATTTATTTTATTCTAGTTTCTAAGCTTCGCATTGAGATCTGAAACGACATACAACGAAATTTTTACCGTTTTTAGCTTTCGTTCGTGTATGCAAAATGTATAATAAAAAAAAAAAAATTCGTGATTTTTATTCTTAATGCGAGTACAAAGGTGTTTTATAACGAACTAACTAAATATAGGTGTGTTTTTTGGTACGTTAACACTATTAGGTGTGTTTTTTTCTGCTTGTAGTTAGATGAAAATGTTTTGTGATGTTTTATTGCGATTTTTTTTACGTAAATGCATTCTGTGACTTCTCCCGTGTGTGTGTGTGTCTGTATGTGCGTGTATCTGTATGTATGTGTGTGTTTGTATGTGTGTATATATATGTGAGTGTTGTTTTTTCGTAGATGTATAATATAAATTTCCTTGTGTGTGTGTGTGGTATTATCTAGGCTCTTCATCGTTTATTACCGGGTGTTTGGGTGTGTGTGTAGTGCCGTGTTTGGTCAGCTAGTTAGGTGAGTTCTGTCGTCTTTCGTCGGCATTAAATTATCAGTGAGTCATATTAGTTAGTTCCTTGGAGAGACCAGGTGATCTAGCCCCCCCCTGCAGCCCCCTCCTCCCCCCAGTCCACCATCTCCTTTAGTCCCTAGCCTCATATGGTAGTGACGGCCGCCCGAGTCTTTGTGGGGGCTTGATGGGGGTGGATGGTGGTGGGTGTGGTCTTTGTGATGGCTGGTAGGGAGGGTGGTGGTAGTTGTGGTCTTTGTGAGGGCTGGTAGGGTGGGTGGTGGTACTTGTGGTCTTTGTGAGGGCTGGTAGAGAGGGTGGTGGTACTTGTGGTCTTTGTGAGGGCTGGTAGGGTGGGTGAGGGAGGGCTGTGGTCTCTGGTAGGGTGGGTGAGGGCTGTGGTCTTTGTGAGGGCTGGTAGGGTGGGTGAGGGAGCGCTGTGGTCTTTGTGAGGGCTGGTAGGGTGGGTGAGGGAGGCTGTGGTCTTTGTGAGGGCTGGTAGGGTGGGTGGTGGTCTTTGTGAGGGCTGGTAGGGAGGTTGGTGGTCTTTGTGAGGGCTGGTAGGGAGGGTGGTGGTCTTTGTGAGGGCTGGTAGGGAGAATAGTGGTCGTGGTCTTTGTCTTCCCTAATCTCGGGGTCTTTGTCTTCTAATCTCAGGTCTTTGTCTTCCTAATCTCTGGGTCTTTGTCTTCCCTAATCTCAGGTCTTTGTCTTCCTAATCTCGGGTCTTTGTCTTCCTAATCTCAGGTCTTTGTGTGCCTAATCTCAGGTCTTTGTCTTCGTAATCTCAGGTCTTTGTCTTCCTAATCTCAGGTTTTGTCTTCCCTAATATCAGGGTCTTTGTCTTCCTAATCTCAGGTCTTTGTCTTCCTAATCTCAGGTCTTTGTCTTCCTAATCTCAGGTCTTTGTCTTCCTAATCTCGGGGTCTTTGTGTGCCTAATCTCAGGTCTTTGTCTTCCTAATCTCGGGATCTTTGTCTTCCTAATCTCAGGTCTTTGTCTTCCTAATCTCGGGGTCTTTGTCTTCCTAATCTCAGATCTTTGTCTTCCTAATCTCGGGGTCTTTGTCTGCCTAATCTCGGGGTCTTTGTCTGCCTAATCTCGTCTTGACCTTCAAAAGATCAACACAGGTAAGTCTTAATTTAAGTTCAGAAGGTGAGTGGGTCTTAATTTCAGGTCTTATTGGGTCTTAATTTCAAGTCTTATTGGGTCTTAATTTCAGGTCTTATTGGGTCTTAATTTCAAGTCTTATTGGGTCTTAATTCTCTCTCTCAGCTTCGTTTCAATTTTAATTTTCTTGTCTACTTTATTTATTAATATTTTCTCTTATATTTCTCGCCTTTATTTCGTTTTGTCATTAATTTTTTATTATTGCATTTTCTCTCCAGTTATTCTTGTTCCCTTTGTTTCTTCCGTTTTTCATTTATTTGTTACATTTGTTTTGATTAGTTTTCTTGTTCTCTCTCTCTCTCTCTCTCTCTCTCTCTCTCTCTCTCTCTCTCTCTCTCTCTCTCTCTCTCTCTCTCTCTCCCCCATTTCCCTATCCTCCCCTTCCCCCCTTTCCTCCCCTCCCCATTACTCTCCACCCCACTCAAGTCACCCCGTCCCATCCCCGACACACACACCACAGTCAACCCACCACCACAATCAACCACACCCACGACAGTCAGCCACACACCACCACAATCAACCACCACAATCAACCACACCACCACAATCAACCACACCACTACCACAATCAACCACACCACTGCAATCAGCTACACTACCACAATCAACCACACCACCACCACAATCAACCACACCACCACAATCAACCACACCACTACCACAATCAACCACCACCACCACAATCAACCACACCACCACCACAATCAACCACCACCACAATCAACCACACCACTACCACAATCAACCACCACCACCACAATCAGCCACACCACTACCACACAATCAGCCACACCACCACCACAATCAACCACACCACCACCACAATCAACACACCACAATCAACCACACCACTACCACAATCAACCACACCACCACCACATCAACCCACACCACCACAATCAGCCACACCACTACCACAATCCAGCCCACACCACTACCACAATCAACCACACCACTACCACAATCAGCCACACCACCACAACCAACCACACCACCACAATCAACCACACCACCACCACCACCACAGTCAACCACACCACAGTCAACCAGATTCCCAGAACTCATCCAAAACAACCCAGTAATTTGACCGTAACACAAAAAACTTTCCCGAACATAGACCGGCTGACTTATTATCCGGCTATATTCACAAACCCGGTAATTTGGTCCGGTTCTGTGTGTAGTTTCCAATACTGCCGGCCGGTTGTCGCTTCGTCTTGGGGTTCAACTAGACCGTGGGATTCATGTTATTTGACCGGCAGTGGTTTGTGGTGTTGATTGGTTTAAGATTGTGACGAGTTATTATTATTGTTATTATTATTGTTATTGTTGTTATTATTATTGTTACTATTGTTACCACCACCACCACCACCACCACCACCACCACCACCACCACCACCACCACCACCACCACCACCACCACCACCACCACCACCACCACCACCACCACCACACACCACCACCACCACCACCACCACCACCACCACTACCACCACCACCACCACCACCACCACCACCACCACCACCACCACTACCACCACCACCACTACCACCACCACTACTACTATCATTATTATTATTAAACAGGATTTATGGGAGAAAATATTAACATGCAGGAGTCACACAGGTATGTACGCTTAACATTAATCAACTGTTAGTCTAAGCTTTGTGTGTGTGTTCATGTGTCTAGGAGAAGCTTGATCGCGTATCTTAAGCTGGACTGCGTTTCTTGGGTAAGCTTGATCGCGTGTCTTAAGTTTGACTGTCTTGGGTAAGCTTGATTTCGTGTCTTACTTAACCTTGATCGCGTGTCTTACTTAAGCTTGGCTGCATGTTATGAGTAAGTTTACCCACTTATCTTGCTTAAGCTTGACCTCGCATCTTACTTATGCCTGGCTATGTTTCTTAAGCTTCATCATGTATCTTACATAAGCTTGACTGCGGTATGTATCTTAAGCCTGGCCATGTATCTTAAAGCTTGGCCATGTATCTTAAAGCTTGGCCATGTATCTTGAAGCTTGGCCATGTATCTTAAAACCTGACCATGTAACTCTAAGCCTGGCCATAAATCTACCTAAAGTTACCAAATGGAACAAGTTTCTTTTGTCTCTCTCTCTCTCTCTCTCTCTCTCTCTCTCTCTCTCTCTCTCTCTCTCTCTCTCTCTCTCTCTCTCTCTCTCTCTCTCTCTCTCTCTCTCTCTCTCTCTCTCTCTCTCTCTCTCTCTCTCTCTCTCTCTGATATTGGGTAAAAACATCCGCCACTTGTCACCCGAACAAATTTTCACACTCTTGGTGGAAGTTCTAAAATGAAAACAAAAAATGGTGCCAAAATTAAAACAAAAAATGGTCCAAAAATGAGAAGAATTGGTGCAAAAAAAAATCCTCGCGCTGGTCACTAAAACGATGGATTTTTATTTTTATTTTTTTGCCATTGATTAAAAAAAATAATCCCCCAAAAAAAAAAATTAATAAAAATAAATTCCTTGACTAAAAAAAAAATATTTATAAATTATTTAGTAATAGATAATAATAAAAAAAATCCTTGGGAAATAAAGAAAATTTTAAACCACGTAACAAAAAAAAAAATAAATAAAAATAAATTCAAAATATCTGACTAACAGAACATTTTCAACCTCGTACAAAGAAAAAAATTACCAGACCCCCAACAACCAACCAATGGTACCCCCTCAAAAATCAACCAATGGTACCCCCACAAAAATCAACCAATGGTACCCCCTCAAAAATCAACCAATGGTACCCCCTCAAAAATCAACCAATGGTACCCCCTCAAAAATCAACCAATGGTACCCCCTCAAAAATCAACCAATGGTACCCCCCAAAAAAAAAAATCCTTGGCAATGGTGACCAAAACGAAGGAATTTTCACCCTCTTACTGGTGCAGGGATCAAACA